ATATGTATACATATATGTGTGTATATATGCATAGACTACGGCTGGTATGGCCACGGCACTAATTAATGAAGTTTTGTGAACACATCATTTTCTCTATATACATCTGTATACATCAAATACGCATGCATATATGTATGTATGTATATACTATGTATAATTGTACATATATAGTATATCAATGCTAGCCATAGTTTATACAATAGAATAGATACATGTATATATATGTATACACACACACACATTTATATATACACATATACATATACATATACATATACATATACAATACATATATAAGTACATCACTGGGGTTGGACACAAAATTGTGTGTATTTCGTTTCAATATTATTATTTGCATATTGCTGGGAAAAAATCATTTATTGTTCTTTGATGCAGTCAACGATAAGAACTCATCCTTGCGAGCCAAATATTCATTGTAACGAAGAAATGCATAGCTGTATAAAGGATAAAGAAAATGATTATAATATGCATGTAAATATATAGATGCATCATTTGTCTTACCCAACATAATCAAAGTCAATTGTGGAATGCTCAGCTTGTAGTAGAGACCAAACTGTCCAGAAAATGTGGGCAGCCAAGGCGAATTGATTCACTTGGACATAGAGCCGTTCGACCTCTTCATTTTGGATATTATTCCGCTGCAGATAGCACTCGAGATAGACGCGCAGCCATTCGAGCTGAAACTCGCGTTTCGGATAACGCGTATAGTCGACCTCATCGACGCCGCACATTTCCGCAAAATGATTGCCAATATCGAAGGCCTGGAAATTGTAATCGGCGTACTCGTAGTCGATAAAGTTAACAGCATTCTTTGATTTCGTATAGACGACATTGCCCAATAACAGGTCGTTGTGTGAGAAAACAATTGGACTCTCTAGTGCCTCCAAGTATTTGTACAAGTTATTGAACTCCTCACGCAGTCGTCCGATAGGTAAAAATGTTCCTTTCACTCTGGCAAGGCAAAGATAGTAAAAAGAGATTTAGATAGATAGAAATATTGAGATCATATATTATCGTATCGTATCGTATCGCATTTGATTCGTACCTTTTGTGTTTTTCAGCATCACTAAATCGTTCAGGTACTAAGTCCAGAAAGCTTTGCGTCTTCTTCCATATCATTGGCGTCGGTTTGCCATCCACATTCGTCTTCCTAACCACACGATGCATCTCGGCCATGCGGCGAGCGACCAGTGGCCAAATATCTGGGCATAGCACACTTTCTGTATTTAAGGTAATGCCAGGTACATATTCGTAGACGAGCCCATTTTTGAATGTCGCATAGAGGGATGGCGCCAAGCCGTACGTGTGCAGTAATTGAAAATTTTGCGTTTCAGCTTTCCGATCGATCAGTAGGTCCGTTTTATTACCATAAACTCGGACAAGCACTACGTTATCGGAGTATTGTATAGGTAATTGTAGATCATTTTGTTGCTCCGTTGTCTCGCCATCAATTGTCGTAAATTCATCGGATAGGATAACCGGATCCTCCGATTGGACTGGCAAAATTCTCGTCGCATTATTGATTGATAAATAGGATTCGTCATTGTCGTTGCCCAATTTGGAGCAATTGTGAAAACAGCCGACTAGCTTATTTGTTATGCCATCTGTAAATTTCTGGAAATACCAAATGGAAAGCCATACAATGAGTAAATAACAAGAGATAATCTAAAAGAGTGTTTATTCTCTATATTTGTATATTTGTATACTAAAGATACTAAAGATTACAGTGTAATTGCAAGAATATTGATCTAACTTTTTGGGGCGTAGCTCGTACACTGCAGTCGAGGATTAATGGGTATATTATAATTGTGCGAAGTGCATGTTGAGAGGGAAGTAGTTCTAAACTGAGCTGAAGAGCCTTAAGTATAATATCAATACTCTATATATAATATACGATTTGGGCTTTCAATGAAAAGCAGTTATGATTACTGTTTATAGCGAGCATATTCGCTGATATGGTAGATGTAATGTTGGTCCTTTAAGTTACAATCTCTGCAAATATGGCATCAAAAGCAATACGAATTGCTAGGTTGGGAAAAAGCTTGATTGATGAGGAGTTCAGTTAACATTTTTGGCTATATACGCCTCCTAACAGAGGGCTATCCCTCGGCTAACGGTCATGTTTATTGTGGTATAATGTAGTGCACATTTGCTACATAGAAAGTTATTATGGCAAAGCTTTACTAATTCCACTTCAACTTTCATTATATATAAGAATAGTCATTCTCGTTATATTTGTTTTGTGCCATGTGTCTACGTCTATATGTCTTTATGACTGTGAAAGCATTTCAAGCATTTTGTACTTCAAATTCATATAGCTTATATATAGCTTATCTCTTAGGTAGGGAAAATCCTATTGAAACTAGACCGATCGAGTTAGACAGCTGGAGTCTCACGCGTGACGACCTCATAAATTACCTATTACTATAAATTGATGTACCTAAGTAAAACTCTATTATCTAAACTGTTATTGAATCTAGACAGCTATACTATATATATAATACATGATTTTAGTTGAAATAAATATAAATGTATAACACGTTATATACTATCTATATAGTATATAACGTGTTATACATTTATATTTATTTCAACTAAAATCATGTATTATATAATTCATATACCAACTGTATAGCACCTTAAATAATAGAGTTTAGATATATGTATTTATTTATGCACTCTGGTACACCTATTTTAGCTAAAAATAATTAGTATATATAGCTTTGCGTCTTGGGCATATGTCCCACAGCTTCAGTGCTACGAATGCCAAGTCTGACCTGCTTTCAAATTGTATAAAACGCCCCCTTCATGGGCGTGGCGAATCCAAATTTAGCCACATGACTGAGTGTTAGACAGTTGGTTATGCCCGACAGAGAAAGCTTTACTTCTGTGAACAGCAGTGAACTATATACATATATACATATGTACATATATATACATCACATATATATATATATATATATTTTAACATGGTCTCAAACTGTGCGCTGTAATTTTTACATTTAACCCTAAAGAAAAGTAATATGAACTTGCTAACGAACAAAGTTGTTAATTGATTTACAAATAGATTAAAAAATTCCTAAGCTAAAATCATATATAGCAAGTTCCGATAGCTGTGTATGTATGTATTTGCGTGTGTGTGTATGTGCATGGGGTATTTTATTTTATAGGTCGTCCAGTATTTGATGCTCAAAGTCTGAATTTAATTTGTATTATATGTGCAGTTAATCTAGCTAAGCATCAGCCATGTTTTTAAATGCTTAAAACGGATTTTAAGACACTCACACACACACACACACACACACACACACATGCGTGTGTGTTTCTGTATTAGTAATCAAACTTGATAAACTTTGTGACTTTTGAAATAATGAAGCGCGCGCACTCACACAAATACTTCTGCAGTTGCTCATTAAAACTATATTATATACACACATACACACACAAGCACATAAATAAAGCCATGTGCTTATGGGGGTCCAGACGTAATCGTTTTGATAAGCCTTCAGTCAAAAGCGAACAATTTTTAATGAAATTCTTGTGATTTAAGTGCCAGCTGTGCGTTTGTGTGTGTGTGTCTGTGTGTATGAGTGTTTGTGCTATCATCATATAGTGTATTATCAACATCAATAAATTCATAAAATGATATGCTATATAGCCAGGCTAAGCCTTATATATATTGCGTATACGCAGACGTATACGCATTTTGAGTTTCGCATTAAATTAAATCTAATTTACAGTAACGCAATTAGCAATAATAACAAAAAAAAAAAAAAAAAAAAAAAANTATATATATGTATATACATATATATGTACCTTTATATATATTATGTAAAACACATATATATTGACATCTGTGTGCTATATTCATACAAAAAATACGTGTGGGAAGTTGTTATTGAGTCGCGATTTATCGAGCAAATAATAACTAACTAATGAGTTATTGAAACCTCGTGCTATGCATTGTAATCATTCAACGCGTTTTGCACACAAAAAAACACTTTACAAATTACAGCTGTGTGCATATATATTATATAGAAATATACATATATTAACTGAACAGTTGTCGTCATAAAAATAACAGTGCTGCACTACACAACAAATAGGAAAATTATAAAATCACCACTTTCTGATTAGTGTAGAAAGCAATCTAGAAGAATTATAAAAATTAACGGTTTTTTCGTTGACAATATATATTCGTTTTTTATACCCTAAACCCATTGAAAATGGGAAATTCGGGTTTTGTTTTGTTTTATTTTAGGATGATTAAGAAAGAAAGATTAAAAGAGAAACCTCTTCACTTTAATATGTGTTTTTGTATTTAACACTAATTCTATTTACTATTATTTCCATGACCATAACTGTTCATAGATCTATAATTAAGGATATATACATAAATAGCCTGCTATATTTTTCAATAGTTTAGAATAAGTCGCAAATAGTTCGTGAATGTCAAATGTAGTATTTACCAATAGGCGCAGATCTAATTGGATACATACATACAGATATGTACGTATATGTATACATATATATGTACATAGAGATGTTTTAAAGATCTATATAATACTATATGGAGTGTTTTTTTTTCGTTTACCTTTTTTTTCTATATACAAGAAATAAGTAGAATAAAATAATTAAGAAGGCTCTAGTCGAAACTACTCTAGTACAAGATCCCCTCAACCCTTCGAGGAACTGACAAAGGACTAAGCAAATTCAGCTCGCCTCTTTGATCTACAACAAATATACTTTATGCCACACCTCCATCTGCCTGTTAGATAATTTCTGAATTTATGAAGGACTTTATATACATATTAAAGGAACCTTCTTTCTATTTAAAATTAGTTAAAAAA